ATGGGTGCATGGGATATTTCTGCTCTTTGTACCTCTGGTCCTAGTGTTCTTGGTTTTATCCTGGCTTTAATCTGTCTTTCGGTGTTTCTTTAAGGGCTATGTCCTATTTAAAAGGACATTCTACCACCTTTGCAGCACTTCAGGTGGATGGGAGGAGAAAGGTCGATTCCCAGGCCAGCCTCATTCTGCGCTTCTTACCCAGAGGTGATGGGGATGTTGAGCAGCCCTTGGTGCTGGTTCTACTCACACCACACGAAGGCTGTGAACGCAGATCCTTTTGGTCATATAAAGCAGTACATTTAGTACAGTGCTCTTGGCCTGCAGTCTGCAATACCCTAGCTTTCAAAGTTTTCTTCTACAGAGGTGGTGAAAGGGAACCAAGAAAAACAAAATCAGAAGATCTATGTAGCGGTGTGTAACTGAAGTTCCTAAAGAGGTTTGCATTTTCCCTGCAGAGATTGTTAAGGCTCCACAAATTGTGGAGGAGCAAAAACTGCTTCTTGTCTAACCTATTTTTCAGAGGTAAAGGTGAATAGGAAGATAAATTTTGCCTGGATAAAAGCACTCTTCAGGACTGCTACCTATAGAGCACTGTTGGTTCTCATACAGTGTCCCCTACTTCATATTCGGATTCCTGGGTGTGTCCAATACAGTCATATTCATTCTTTTTCATTTTCATTTCTTCAGACCCTTTGTTTGTCGCGGACTCTATCACATATTGGTTTTCAGTGGAGGAGATGGGTTCCTCATAATGACCCGTACTTTCACACCTTGAAGAAGCTGCTGCTCTCGAGTTATGGCTGAAATCAAAATACAATATGAAAGAAGAGTTGCAACCAGAGTAGACAAAGCCTCTCCCAAGGGTCAAGATTTTGAGCAAGATTGTGGTCTGACTCAAACCCATGCAAATCTGGGCCACTGGATTATGACAGTATTCTGAGGGAGAGAATCTTGCCCTTTGCTTCCAGGTGGCAGGAAAACCTTGGACATTATAGCAGCACTGCCTCCCATCCAGGCAGAGTTACAGAGGCAGCAAAAGGTATGTAAGCAATACAAGGATTACCACCATTTCCTGGAATGGAACAACCAGTCAACCGCTTTTTGCAAGATAAATATGTGTATACATAAAAAAAAAAAAAATATATATGTATTTTAAAAGTGGTGGAGGAATGATAAATGGTGAACTGAATACAGCCAACGTCCATAATGTGGCTTATGATATCTAATATCTTTAAAATGAAGGTAAATCCTCTGAGGTGAAATGCCATCACACCATTTATTCAATTTATTCAGTTGCTCAGGGTTCAACTACTACTACTTGGAGCATGCTGCTTTATAAACTGCTTGGGAAGCACAGCACCCGGGCAAACACTGCTGGCATGTTCTACCATGGCACTTAAGTCATCAGCACTTAATTAATATCTAAATAGGTTATTCTCTTTGTATGTTTTGACTGGATTATTAGGCTTTTCAGTATGGCTTGCATAGGTTTCAGGATGCTGAAACCTGAGTTTAGAAATAGCTGTAACTTCCTGCCACAGCTGTGATTAAAAGAGGCGAGTTCAGCCAAGGATATTTCAGGGATAAGTCAGTCTAATCTGTGCATCGGGAACTTTAGCTCTCTAGAAGGGGAATTCCTGTTCTTTGCATTTGAAAAAGCACTGGGAATTTATCCTTGGCAGTGATCTTCAGTAGACTTCATTGGGCTGAGGAGTTAATGAACAGCTCTCGCTCATTTTTATGATTCTCATATTGCAAAGGAAAAGATCTCTCTTCCTACATTAATGTTGATGTGGCAAGCCCACAGATTATCAGTACAAAGTACTACTGAGCTAACTTTGAACCTCTTCTTCCATACAGCTTTAGAGGCTTTTCATCTTGGCAGCTAAGTACCACCTTTTTTTTTTTTTTCTGCTCTGTTACATTCCCCAAAGACTTATCAATATGTTAGATAAAGGGTTATACTCACAATTTTACTTCATAGACTTGAGCTGGAAAAGAATAATCAGAAGTGTGTGTAAATGATTTGCATTTATATTCTCAAAAAAAAATAATTCTACTATGTCTCTTCTTGATATAAGAAAGCGACCTCTGAAGACAGAATAAAAATAGAAACCTTAGAGATCATGTTAGGTGGGTGATGACTCCTATTCCCAGGATTCAGTCCAAGAAAATGAAAACAACCCGTATCCCAGCTGTAGCACAACTGGGTCAAAATAACTGGCCCAAGGCCAAAGGCAAAGTTGAGTTTAGAAACTAGAAGTTCCCAGTTCCCACAATTTTCCTATTTATTAAGTTCAATAAAGAACAATTTATAAAGAGGTTATTCTGTATCATTTAAAAAAACCCAACCAAACAACAGAAAAAAAGGCCAAAAGCTTATTTGATAATAATTATTATTAATTGGTGGGACAGAGTTGTAGAAAGGTAATTAAAGAAACAAAAAGACATGGAGAAAACTATGGCCATCGTTATTAAAAAACTCCAAACCAAACCCCCAGTGCGTTCTCTGCACACTGCTGAGTGCTATTAATGAGAAAGGGGACTCTAAGAAAAGCATTTGCTCAGGAGTTTTCCAGTATTAGCACAGAAAAGACAGAAGCATTCAGTATATATATCCTCTGTCTGAAGACTAGAGAAAGGAAATTAATTCATGTTGAATAGGGAGAATTAATGATGACCTCTTTTGCTCCAGGTTCTAACTAAAAGAAATATTAAACAGCAGCTGGTGCAAACAGGTATTTTAAAGTAGCAGGACAAGATTAACTTGCTACCAGATACCTTGAAAGATCGGATCAACAGACTGAGTCAAGGAGATAATTTTGAGAGCCACGGGATGTCTGTGAGGACCAGAGGGAAACGATCGTCCCTCAGTAATCGCGGCAGAGCGGAGAACAGCGTGGCGGAGAAGCTGAGCACAGTGGGATGGCCAGTGTGTGTGTGTGGGGGGGCAGAGACTGAGATCCCCCCTGGACCCAGCACAGGGAGGAGTGCTGCAGATGCTGCTTCAGCCCTTCCCGTGGCAGAGGAGCACCCAGCGGGCCCTCCCCGACTGCTGCGACTGGTTTTCCCCGAGGAGAAAGGGGCTTCTCTGCCTCTTTCAACCTCCCACCACCTATTTTGACCCATGCACGTTTTGATCGAGTGCCTGTATGATACAGGTGCCAAAGCTGCTGCAGGTGGCCACGTGCACAGTACCGACCAGCCCCAAGAGCCCTCAAAGGTAAAACCGAGCTGGGTATGCATAACGCATTCAAGGTTTCCAGAACATTCCACTCACCATCTTTGGGCTTTCTAATGCAAATGATAAGAAAGATGACAAGGAAAATCACAGCACTGCAAACCACAGCAATCAGGATGACCAGGTACAGGGGCAGGTGAGTCCTCTGGAAACCTAGAGCAATACAGCAGAAGACTTTCAAACAGAGAAGCCCACCCGGGTCACAGTAGCGGTTACGTGACACTGACCACTTCCCTGAGGACAACAGCAGCCAGCCCTGTGGTGGATACACAGGGTTGTTATCGCCTGTCCCTGCTCGTCCCCATCCTAACAGCACCCGGCTCTGAACAGGGGCGTTTGTGTGCACTGGCCAGAACTGCGCACACATCTCGCTGGGGGACTGCGGCCATAAAGACAACGGGCAGACAACTGACAGCTCCTAATGCTAACTCAGGCTGTGAGCCGGGCAGAAGAGTTGCACTGCACTTCAGGAAATAAAGAGTCTCAGCTTTTCACTCCAGGCTACTGCTCAGTTGTATTTGGAACACGTTTAAACCTACCACGGCACTGCAAAGCTAGAGGAGGTATAGGAGATCTGCTTGAGTTGCACACTGAGGCTTTTCTGCTGTTCCAGCTTTGACACTCAAAGAAAAGATCAAACTGGACTATTGCCTGGGAACACAGTAATAACTCTGTATGCGCCAACTATGAAAGCCCCCCCCCGCCCCCCCAAAAAAAACCCCAAACACCCAGAGTCTGTTAAAGAGTGACTGTGAATCATTTAGGTCCCTTGAGAACAGCCATTAATACAATTTGCAGCCAAAAGACAGAACACTAATTTTGAGGCTGAAGGTACTAACTACTTAGTGGCTGGTTTGGGTCCCTAATCTCATTTTTAGCTTTGTTTTGCTCTCCACTTACTCTGAGTCGTATAATTCTTCCCTGGATATCCCACACCATTCTCAGAAGTCACTACTGTTACGGGCAGATCTGCAAAACAAACAGGAGTGAAAGGCTCACAGTGCATTTCCAATCCTCATTTTAGCACCAGGAGATCCAGGATTATAGCTATAGGATCAAAAGAGAATATCTCCATCATCGTTACAAAGCAGTGAAAACAGGCAAACTCTAGAAATGAGTACAATATATACACTACAACATAGAGTATATATAAGCCCTAGAGAGATACTATACATAGTACCTATACTATGTATACAAAAAATACGTATATATACAGACTAGAGATATATACATATATGTATGTCTATACACACACACCCACCTGTAATAGTGGTAGAGCTCCACGGAGTCCAAGAGATTACAGAAGTACCCCTGAACACCAGCTCCGTTTGTTTTTTTTCTGTAAGAATAGCCAACAATTGTCAACATCTTCCCTCAGCTTCTGGTCACCGATGCTGATTCCTACAACCTGCTGTGTGATTGGTGGGGCACTACAAATTCAAATGAAACATAACCCCAAAATACAAATTTTCCGCAAGCAGACCTACTCTAACCCAGGTCTAAATTCCCACATCCCACAGAAACAAAACAGGAATCACAAGCGCTCCCTCAAAACAACTGTTCTTGGTAAGGTAGACTGTTCCCAATCAGGCTGAAGCAGCTTTTGCATCACTTGTATCTGCCACTGGAGATACTAACTCTGCCTCCCACTTCAGCGGCTTTCATTCAAGACCAGAAAACAAGCAAAAAAGCCCTTTAAAATTAAAAAAAAACACCAAACCAAAAACAAACAAAAAAACGCCAGAGCTCAGAACATCCTATATAGTCTACAAGTTAGGAAATGGTATTTCCAGCAGCCCTAAGACACAGAGAGAGTCTTTGATGCAGAGACAACCTCCCAAAGAGCCAGCTAAAAGCCCACTGCAGACTGGAGACTGAGGAAAAGGGGATGTTCTATGTTCAGAAGCACCTGGATTAAAACTTGAGGGGTATGGACTAAAGTAGAATATTCGTCAAGACTGTATTCCCCAGCAACAAAATCCACTGCTAAATGCGGTGTCAAACCCTCCCCTGACTCCCTGTCTTTGCTGTCAGCCGTAACTGCTGTTACCTCGACCTGTGGTTGGGTGGTGTCTCCCTGAGGTTCCGACATCCCTCTGAGAGGCCACTGTTGTTGTGGGCAGATCTGCAAGGTGAACAAGACAGAGGCTCACACAGGAGTTTGACCATGCTCGTGATGCTGCTGCAATACAGGAGAACTTCTCCACTGGTGGGGTAAGAGCACGAGGAACCAGCCACCAGCCAGAGGACAGGTAGGGACTGCATGCCAGCAGCATTAATAAGCACGGCCATCGTTAATTCCTGTTCCCCTGCTGTACACTTTTATGTGCAACTCCTATGAAAAGCAACACGTCGTTTCGGCCATAGTCTTCATCCTACTGGGAGCTCAGCAGGCTTTGTCTCTTTCAAAGGTCACCGTGTGGCATCTGTGTGTGGCTCTGTGATCACAGGTTTCAGGGCTCTGATGACCGAGTTACCAGCCAAGGAAAGCAGCAAGCCTTCCACAAGGCACCCATCATGCACCATCTTGCAGAGCCTGGATACAGCAGAGCACAAGAGCGTGTGTGAAGTGCAGTGTGTTTTCCTGAAACGTGGCAAATCGTAAGGAACAATGGCCAGTTTGATTTCTTCCACCTACTGAATTGCCACTCATGTTCCTCATATTCAAAATGAAGTCCCAATTCCTCTTCTAAACTTGCTAAACCGCAATAGGCAGAATTACACAGCCAGCAAGAGTTTCAAAAAGGCCAAAGAGGAATAAATATGTGTTTTAAATACAAAACCTCTTTTGAATCAGAAAAGAGCAGTTCCCCTGAAGAAGAGGAGGGAAATTGAATAGAGGAAATAAAAAAGGATAGAAAGCCAGAGCCAGTGATGCGAAGTGCTTCAGAGCGCAGAAGGCAAGGCTTTTTGTGTTTTCTTCTTTCACAGAAGGGAAGTAGAAATGTTCTGTTTCAGGTGTTTTCCATCCAGCTGTGGCTCTGGGGACTCACCTCTCACCGTCAGCTCAACGGCGTTGCTCTGCTGCACAGCCCCGGCCCCAACCCGGTTTTCTGCCTCACAGTAGTACTTCCCGGCGTCAGAGGGCCGCACGCTGTCCCACGCCAGCTCGGCCTGGCTGCTCCGGAGCTGGGCTTTCCCTCCCGGGGTGCTCCTGAACCAGCGGTAGCTGATGGGAGGGGACCCGCTGGCCACACAGGTCAGGCTGGTCCTGGCTCCTGCCGGGACCGTCAGCCCCAGCTCGCCGGCCCTGATGACGGGCTTGGTCGCCGCCACTGCAAGACAAAGCAGATGGGGCCCAGGTCACACCGGGGAAGGTTCTTCCCCCGCTCCGTGGCTGTTCTTTCTCCGGCTGTCTGTGCTTTCCCGCACCACCGCTCTCACGTCACCGCTCTGCACAGGTTAAGCGTGGCTTAGCTGTGCCTGTACCAGCTCTGCCACCCCTCGCACTTCCCACACGGAGGCCTGCTCTGCTGGGTTGATGCCATCTCCATTCCTCTATAAATCACCACTGCCCAGGCAAAAGGAGATCGGGCACGTGCTGATGGAGTTTGGTCAAAGAAAAAGGAATGGAATGTCCCAGGGGCTTCCCCTCTGGTGTGTGTCCCTTGGAAACACTGAGCCATTGGATACAGGTAAAGCCAGGGACAAATTGGTAAATGAGAGGCCACAAATCCTCCCCCAGCCCCTGAACTGCAGGGCACAGTGTGGTGGGCAGAATTCCTCCCTCCAACCTATTTACTGCTTCTCGCCAGAGCCTGACAGCACTCAGCAAAATGCTTCTGCATCAGAAGCGGGTGGTCACTGCCTACCTGGTCTATTCCATTCCTAAAAACCTTCCCGAGCTGAACCTTCTGCTCCTGCACAGCTTCCTTGCTGGGTTTACCTTTAACAACCTCCACTTTAGTGCTGATCTCCTTTGTTATCAGGCTGTTGTTTCTGGCTCTCCAGGTGACTTGGCACGTGTAGGTTCCCCTGTCAGAGATTTCCAGGTTCAGGATGTGGAGAGACACGTTCCCTGGGGCATCCTTCAGGACGCTGACCCTGCCTCTGTACTCGGCCAGGAGAATGTGGTCGCCAGAGCCATCCCTCCGAAAAACAGCGCCAGAGCTCTGGTCGTGTACCACAGTCCACATGAGCGTTTGCTGCACAAAGTCTTTCACAGGCACATAGGCACACGGCAAGATGGTAGATGCCTTCCATGTACCTTCGATCTCATTGAGGCCAGTCAGGTCCAAAAAAGCTGCAGGAAGAATGGAGAAAGAAAACTAGAAAAAAAGCAATCACAGTGAAGGCAGCTCCTGGGTGACGACGCGGTGGTGAGAACATCAGCAAGCGGAATCCACCAAATCAAAAGCCTGGGCAGTCAGGGCAGACAACGAGGGATGGTCTGCTCAGGGATGGGCTAACAAAAAAGCAACGTAGCGTGAGGAAGGCAGATGGGAGAGCGCTGATGGCCAGGGGCACTGACACCTGCCACATGTGCCGTTTGGGTCTCATGCTCTGCCTGCTGCTTACCTGCAGGCAAGTGAACAGCAGGCAGAGCATGGGATCGGAATTAGCGGACGATTTAGACCTGAGGGAAGGAGTTTGTCTCAAGCCTGAGTTGCGGAGCTCCCCAGTCACAGCTGGCGTCTGCCCCCACCACCTGATGCTGCTCTGGGGGCTCTCCTGGAAAGCACCACACGTTAACAGCAAACCACAGTTTTTATGGCTTTGTCTCCTCCACTGCCCATTTGTTCTTCTGAAAGACAGTGCTTTTTCAGACTAGCTCGAATTTAAGCAACTTAAGCAACAGATCAAAGAAGTCTAAAGCTCTTTAAATTTTCCCATAAAAATGAGGTCTGTTGACCTTGTCCCAGTACGTTCTTGCCACCCTTAGGGCTGCACCTATGCTTCCACACACACTTCTTTACCCTTTTCTCACAGTTTCCAAACCTTCCCTTTCCTGGGAACACAAGGACTAACCAGACCCTTTGTGCTGGGCTGCTCGCTGTGCTCTCTGAAATAACTGTCACAACATATATGGGATCCTCGTACCCTAAGTACGTGGGCAGCATTTCCATCGCCTTCATGCACCGTTGCAATCTGCAGCCACTGGATTTGAAATAACTGAACACTGAGCCAGCAGCACGCAAAGGCGTTGGCCTTTGTGCTGTATTTCTGTTCCCGAAAGAGAACCACCCCTGTACAAACACACACAGACACACCAATGCCAGGGAAGGAACTGCCCCAAGCAGGAGACCCTTCTGTATACTCACCATTGCAGAAGAGAAGAGGACTCATAAGCACAGCTGCTCTCACCAGCATTCCCATCCTTCCCAGGGTTGCAGCTTCTCCCTCTCGAGTAGAACAGACCTGCTCTCTGCTCCTCAGGGGGTAAACACTTCCCTTTCTTCACTCACTTTGTCATCAAGAACCCAGGGCAGCTGCTGATGGTTTTTCCTTCCTCTTTTTCAGAAAAAGAGTGTCTCAGTGATGACTGTCAAAGGTGTGGGCAGAACAGAAGCCCTCAGGGAGGGTGAAAAGAGAAAATTTTAAGAATTACTTCTACTCTATTTCACATTTCCTGCTAAGTATGCTTTCCCCCCCCTTTTGTTTTTTAATTCAAGTTTAAAAAAGGTTTCCTTTGTTTCTTTTTATTGCTAAATACCTACTTCTTCCTCTTTTCCTCCTTGCATTGCTTTCTAAATAATAACTTTTAACACATATGTTACATACAAGAAGATCTGAGAGAGTACTCTTAAGGAGCTAAACAAGGTCCTTACTATTCATTTTCTTAACAGCTTTCTGATGGAGCTCACCACTGTATTTTAAATTAAGATTCATGCAACACCCTAAATCTTTATATTACCAGTGTGAAACAAATTATCATTGTAGGTCCCTTCCAACTGAAATATTCTACTCTATTTCAGTATATCCCATTTAAGAGGTAGAGAGAAAACAAATCCTTTCCAAGAGCTGCAGTCTCCTGGTTTGAACATCCCACTCTATATCACAGATTGATCCTCCTTTCTCACATAGCAATTCAGCTGCTTGGTTGAATTGATTAATTGCATTCAATTAAAAGCATAGATTAGAACCATATGCACCTGCATTTCCCTGTAGATTACTCTGGAAACAGGGAAACAATTATATCCCCAGAGAGAAAAAAAAAGTAATTTATCAAAGCAGAAAATCTTTGAGACTATGAAATTGTGACTCTTACCAGTAATAGGAGTGTTAGTAGTAGTTAAAGGTAATATTAGTTATATTAATCTGTATTATTAAGTAATTGAGCACTAGCATCATCTAGGAGAAGTACCTGTTCTCTACTGAAACGTTATCTTCAAGGTATTTTACATGTCTTTTTCTGTCTTCCACAGCTCTTAATTTTTCTGGTGCCCTAATGACAGAAATGTCTTATGCTTCATTGTATACAGCTAAATCGATGTGAGCGCTTTGCTATTGTTACATCCAAATTCAACATCCAGTCCTCAAAACCAAGTAACCTGAATAATTAAACGCAGTCAACAAAATCCTACACCATATTCTAAACTACAATCCTCCTTTAACAACAGTGAGACAATGTTCGCAGCTGCAGAAGCAGAGTACAGGACACCAGCGCGATCAATCAAGGCTGCCTACCTGAATCTGAAGTTGTGGCAACGTTGGGAAAAAAATATTTCCTATAGTCTTATATATGGTTTAAAGACAGCTCCACCTACATTGTCATTTGTAGGCAGCTTCATTAAGTTGTCATGTAATTTAACATTAAAACCAAGAGATTTGTGTATAGAGCCCTGGGAGCTCTGATATTATCTTGTTCCTCTTCTTTTGAGGTCTTCGCTTTCATTGTGATTGCTTGCTTTTACATATAGTCTTATTTTAGGGTCATTGATAGTTCATTCTGCAAAACAATGGTGCTTAAAAGCATATATGCATATGGAACTGTGACCTTTTTGACTACTTGTTATTAACATTGATCTAATTAGGACTATGTTATTGGTATTTGTTTGAATTTGGTTGTTTTCAGGTTATAACTTTCTGATCTCTGTTTCTCTGAAGCTGGTGATTTTACTACATGCAATTTTCATGCCTTTATTTGGTTAGAAAATCTCCATATCCTTGTGGTTGTTTATCAGTCTCGGCCTAGAGAATCATCTGTTCACTTAATTTCTTACTATCTACTATATCTGCAGTTATACCTGTGATTAAAGAGGACATCTAACCAGCTTAAGGTCTAAAATGCTTCTGAAAATATCCTACTTGATAAAGCTGAGAGAAAGGTTTGACAGAGATTCAAGAGATTTTGGGACCTGATTTCACGTGCTCCTCCCTTGTAGCCCTCTATTCCTCCCTCAGAAATTTTCCATCAGATGCAACTCCAGTCTGCAGTCCCTGGGATGGGCAGAAGCAGAAAAAGCTTGTGTGGGCTGCCGTGTTCACATACTTCTTGATTAAAAAAAAAAAGGAAGAGAAAAGAACATGTTAGGTTCAAGTTAATGATACTCCTTCCTGGGGAACGTGGCTCGCTGGACAGGAGGGCGGAAGCCTAAATTGACTCATAAGGGAACCTACCACTAGAAGGGTACGTACCCACCAGGAAGCTAAAACTCAAACTGCTTGACAAAAAAACAAAAGTGTATATATTTATTTATATATGTATATTTACATTTACATTTTTGGTTGGGGGCACAGTGGCAGGAGAAATCTCTTGTCCTTTATTTGATGCAAGTATGGACATCTGTACTCTAAGACGACCCGTGGTAGCAATCTCTTACTTCTGCTTTGGGGAACTGTGATAAGAGATAACACGGATACTACTTTTCAAAATGGCAATCTTGTTTTAGGGGGACAGCAAAACATTTTGAGCATGGACTGAATGAGGTAGCACCGTACCATGTCCAGGAGAGACTGATCAAAAGAAGTTTTTCTCGTATTCTGGAAAGCTCTGTGTTAGCAAATGCAAAGCAATAGGAGATAAAAAAGGGACGGTCTGCGTGGGGAGGCCTGGTCTGAAACAGTATGAAAAATAATTATGAAAGGAGCGTGCGAGGGGCACTTTTCCCTTTCTCACGCTGTGCTTGCCACACCTGGGCGTGTTCTGTACATTCTCAGCACATGGAAGTCAAAGAAAAGCCACTTTTCCTTCTGCAGGTACAGGACACTAAAGCCAATCAGTGACAGCGTCAGCCATGTGCGTTGGTGCTGGAGGAGGAAGGAAACTTGCGTTACAGTGAAGCAACTGCGGTCATGGATAACACAAATTTGTTACGCATCAAGCTGCTGCGCGTAGCAGCCCTAACCAGCAGGATCTCGTACATCAAGGGATAGCCACCCGCTGCCGCCTGGCCGGCTGCGCTGCGGATATCGCTTGGCTGCAGACGGACTTGTCCGGTTAATCCTAACGGAGTCCTCTGGCCGTGGTTCCCAGCGATGACACCACTGCCGTGTCCTTGTCCTTATCTTGAAGCGGAGCAGCACTTTTTCATATGAACAGCCTTTTTCTTGGCAGTGGAAATGATGAATAAAGTTTTCTACTTCTAGGAAAACGCTGCAAAAACTGTAGAGCCCCCAGTGCCGGTTAACCTTGGCACGGGCTCTGCAGTGTGCCATGCCCGGACCAGAGGTCTGCCTCATGCTAAGGTTATCTGTGCTGTCCCATTTCCTTCTCTGGTTATCTCCAGTAAACATTTTAATCTGTCCCTTATGGAGCTGAGGGCCTTTCTTACTGGGCGCCGCAAAGAATACTTGCGCTGGTGCGTTACATCTGGCATAGCTGGCAGAACCCTGGTGAGAAATGGCTTTTTGGGAAAGGCTGGTGCGGTGAGGAGAGGGCGGGTGCCCGCTGGCCCCGCACGGGGGCAGTTGTGCAGTCTGCGGGGGGAGCGACCGCCCTGTGAGGTGGCAAAGAGGGGAAGAGTAATACGGGGGACCCATCCC